GAAGTCAATATTAATCAAGTTATGGCTGTTTTAAATTCAAATAAAACCGTTAACCCGTACCGGTCCAGCTTTTGACCTGTACCGGTCAATTTTCGTTAGCTGGGTATACCAAGGGTGGTATGCTTATAAAACAAATTCATTTCTTCTTCAGCCTGTCCATTATATGGCTCAATAGGCCCACCTTCTGATCGGATTATCCGCTTAAGATTTGAAAGCCATTGGCATAATTGATGGATATCTGTGGAAGTACTATCCAACTCCAAATTATTCGTTCCTTCAGTTTGTCTACATCCCTAATGGGCTAGGGATCTCCATAGACCAACTGTTCTAAATGCGCCCAAGTATATACTACATGTAATCAACAGGATAGACTCTATATATCAGTAAGCAAGAAGAATGACATTTGCGATAAAGGGCTACTCAAATCGAGATGACATTTTTCTGACCGACCCTGTTTTTGTTGAACGAGGAATAAAAATATACTCTGAATATTACTGAAATGAGGTGATAAAAAGGACTCCTCAAGGATATAAAAACATGTGAAAGAAATCTCATTTTCTGATAGGACAGTGCTCCATCACACAGGTCCAATGCTACCCTAGCTTTTTGGAGATTCGAAATGTCACCATCTCTAGCCCAGACAAATGGCTTACCACTGGCCGTCCAGATGCCAATACTGTACCATACTTGGGGGCATCTAGAACAGATGGTCTACAGTGCGTATCGAAAAAACGCAACAGATTGTTATCTTGGAAAAGCACAAAACCAGTGATAACAGCATTGATTTCATTCAATGTACCATAAAGCCATGTGTCTCCTCTTTCTAATGGTATATCATTCGTTGATATTGGGTCATGGTTGGACGAGTAATCATTCTTTAAACAAACTGGGCCAAAATTACCTTGGGGCCAAGTTATAAACATCGCAAAAGTCAGTGCACGGGGCCCAATGCAATATTGGAAGAAAACATAAAACCAATAATGACTGCATCCTTTTCATTCAATGTACCAAAAACCCAAATTACTCCTCTTTACAATGGAATGTCATTCATTCACAGGGAGTCATGGTTGTCCGAATAATCATTATTTTGTAAAGTGGGGCAAAATTCAGCTCAGACCCAAGTTTTAAACATTGCAAAAGTCAGTGCATGGGGCATAGAGGATATTGAAAGAAGGTATGGGATGTGTGGCATAGACTGTAAGTGTTTATACTCATACTTTTGCAAGAATACATCCCACACCCCTTTAAATTGCCACCACTTCTTACACTTAGCACACAAAGATGCCCTCATCTCTCCATGCCATTCATGGCTCAGCTCTGAGTCATCTGTGGATTAAGGCGGAGAAAAGCAGCCCATTGGCAATTCTTTCTCGAAGTTTTGCAATATCTAGTGAAGGAATGGTGAGCACAGATGCTCCTGAGATAGCTCCAAAAGAAAAAGTCACAACAAATAAAGTCAGGAGAACTTCCATTGGCACTTAGCTCTTGCACTGATTTTTGCAATATCTGAAACTTGGTCCAGAGCCGATTTTGACCCACTGTGTAAATGAAAGTATTTCTCACCCAACCATGACTACATGTGAATGAATGATATATGATTGCAAAGATGAGGGGCATGGCTTTATAGTACATTGAATGAAATTGACGTAGTGATCACAAGTTTTGTGATTTTACGAGATAACTGTTTGTTGCGTTTTTTTTTGATACGCCCTGTATAAAGATACCCAGCCTATCAGGGATGTAGAGGAACTAAAAGAAAGAATAGACACGTCGCAAAAATATCGCGCCCGTGTGTTAAATAGGGTGTTGCATGAATGTAACTTTAATTCTTCGTAATAAAAGATAATATTCTAATTAGCTAAAGTAATTTATCATTTAAAAGCTACTTCATAAAGTTTTCAAATTAGGTATACTCCTTTCACAATTCTTGCTCGTTTTTCTTAAAAAAAGTTCTTTACCCCAAAATTAGGCATATATCCGCTGTGGACACGTTACATTTTGAATAATTTTTCATCTTTAAAAGCTCATAACTCGGACAATATTTGACTATTATAATTTTTTTAGTCTAGATAAAGGTAGATGCTGGAAGTATTTTTTCAAAGGATGAATTCTAGTAAGCGTCCCAAATTGTGACGTCATGGATTTTGAAAAATAGAACCTGTGGACAGCGATCTTTTTTGCTAATTTTTTGTTACCTTCAATTTTTCAGATGTACGAGGGGTGATCAATAAGTAATGGACGCTTTTTTACACAGATACTTTTTATAGACCAATCCCTTTGATTTTCCTACCAGTGATACATCATTCAATTATCTATCAATTCTGAAGATTTGAAGACAAAATATATAATACATATTGATATATCCTTATTTCCGTGAAGGAGGTACAGGTACCCCGGGACCGACATTTACGTCACATATTCAGTTTTTAGCCAGTTTGGTAAATTTCAGTTAGATTGGAACTTTTTATATGCAACAAGTGTTGTGTTGTTTGAATTTTTTGCTGACTGGTAACACATAAACAGAAAGTATTGTGATGTCATAGTGTTGTATGGAAGGGGTTTGCAGGTCAATTTGAGAAAGCATTGTGGAAGAAAGGGGTGGTGAGAGAAGGGAACACCCTTCTCCATATGGACAATGCACCTGCCCACAGATCTCAAAATGTTCAGAAAACAATATCCCTGGACCTCAAAATTGACCCCTTGGCCAATGCACCATATAGTCCAGATCTGCTCACATGTGACTTGTTTATTTCTATACTACTTATTTCTATAGAGAAAGGACGCAGGTTTATTGACATTGATGAATTAAACATGATAAATTAAACAACCCGTGCAACTGCATCTTGCTACCATGTCAGAGAATGGATTCAGCCTTGTCTCACAATCTTGAGTTAAGAGGATGAGGAATTATGTACATGTAGTACTTGATGGAACTTATTTAGAGGGCCCTGTGGAATGAATGTGGCATGAATACCACATAGTGATGATAAAATATTCCAAATTAACTATGGCAAAACAAAATGGGGTAATTCACGACCATAATGGTTTGTTTTGTTCAGCCTGCATTTAACTGCATTGCATGTTAAACAAGCTAAAATAGCTTCAGAATATGTGACGTAAATGTCGGTCCCGGGGTACCTGTACCTCCTTCACAGAAATAAGGATATATCAACATGTATTATATATTTTGTCTTCAAATCTTCAGAGTTGATAGATAATTGAATGATGTATTACTGGTAAGAAAATCGAAGGGATTGGTCTATAAAAAGCATCTGTGTAAAAAAGCGTCCATTACTTATTGATCACCCCTCGTACATTAGCCTAAACAAAAAATACGATACCAATTTTTAATAAATCATGTATGATTATTTTGCTCATAAACTTTAGTTTATTAATTATTAGTACAATAACGTCATTTCTGCGGGCAATATATTGAACTATTGGACCAAGGGCCGCAGGCCCAAGGTCCAATATTTCACTATTTTGCCCGCAGAAATGACGTTATTACTATTATTACCACCGTTAATGCCCAGGGCTGAAATAGCAAATTTGAAATAGAAAATCTTACGCACTGAACGATATCACTTTTCCCGGGAAACATGGCCGGGCGGATAATGTCATTATTGCCCGACTAAAGTCATTAACGCCCGACACAATATTGCTCACGTCAATATAGCAATTTAAATGCCTTCTCAACTAGTACTAAAACCCCTAGAACAGGCCCTGCAAGGTGGTAATAATAGCTGATTTTGTTTCCAAGAAATGTATGTGCTTTCTGTTGTATGCGGAAAAGTGGAGGACGAAAGGTTTTCAAAATTCATTAAAATAGGGCGAATTTACGCCATTCACCTATTTTCAAACACAGCAACACATATATTTATTTTACCTAAAATATCGTGTTTTATGATGCTCATAACCCATTTTTAATATATATACGATATCAGAGTTATTCGTCTTGAATATTTTTAGATATAGAGGCAAATGTGGAGGTCGAAAGGATTTCCATATGTGTAGGCCTATGTTTTTCTCAATAACGTCACATTCTGTCGTGTTAAAAAGCAAAAATGTGTAACAATACGTGCGCGAACATTTTGCGACGTGTCATAACTATTAGCTGAATGGTAGCTTCCGCATACATCCATCAATATGTCATCAACCAAATGGTTTCCACGTCTTAAGCGAATAATCCAATCAGAGGGTGTGTCTACTGAGCCATATTTGGACAGACTGAGGAAGAAATGAATTTGTTTTACGAGGGGTGATCAGGAATTTCTGGACCGATGGCTCTATTTGTGCCATTTTTATCCTTTCTTACTGATTTTTTCACATAATATAACCCAAATAGTATATAGGATCACACCATGAAGATTACATTGTTCTATGACATCATTATTCTATTATTTTTGTTACCATGGTAACTGGTGATGCGACAAGGTGAAGCTCAAAAAAATACAAAAATTGAAAAACAACAGTTATTTTATATTATGTTTGTGTACTGTATATGTAATAGGTTGTATTATGTATGTTACATACTGTAATATTTCTCATATCATTAAGTATATTCATTAATGTTCATACTAACTGTAATTATTCTTCCATCAATTCTAATCCTTTAAAGTAGTTACCAGCATTTTGTAAGCATTTGTTATGTCTTTTCACTCAGTCCTGAAGACGTGACGCAGACCGTCTTTGCCTACATTGTAACATTGGTGTGTGAATTCCCGAATGATCTCATTACTGTCCTCAAAGTGGATACCTCATAATTTGTTCTTCACTGTTGGAAAAAGATAGAAATCACACCCAGCTAATTCTGGTGGATACTGTGCGTGGTGTACAAGGCCACAACTGATGGAAACAATCACATTTTGTAGGCAAAGACGGTTTGTATCACGTCTTTCATTAGGGGATATGTACGCATCAAAATAATCATATGACATATATCATAAAATATGATACTCCAAGTAGGTTTCTTTATTTTATATTATATTTTACGTTTTTAGCATCCAAAATATGCAGCTCCCGCTCTTATTCGCTGTATTGGTCGGACTCTGTGTGGTGATCCCAAGTGCAGCAGATCTGAGCGCCCTTTTCAAGGAAGCGCACGAGGCCAACAAAAAGGAAGCTGCCGCTGAATCAAATTTTCAAGGTAAAACACAAAGGTCGTGTTGTAATCTTCAATTCGAGTTCTACAATAAAAAATATAACGTCTAAATATCTCGCTCGTTGCAAGGGAAATGTCTTTTGTTGATCAATGTTCAATAAAGTTAAGTAAAACGATAAAAATATAGTTAATAACTACAGTGAAAATTAGAAAAAAATACTATTCTTTTGTTGTACTTTGAATAATAGCATTGGTAACATGTGCACCGCAATAAGTGTAAAATGCCATTAGTGCACAAATGTATTATGAGATGCTAACAGTGAGTCGTCAATGTACCATGGTAATTTTATCAGTGTGCATATCTACACTAAAATGACACCCTTGTATTATTGTTTTGTTATCAATATTAGTGTACAAATTAAAACAGTGTAACGTGGTATTTCGTTTCTTGTAGAAGTATAACATAAACACACGAGTACAATAAAATGCTAACAGTGTACAGTGTACCAAACTATGCTATATTATTCTTAAGGTTATATGGAAATTATGACATCATATTCACATTTAAACTTTAAGACTTTACTTTTATATCTATCATATCTATATTCATGCTTTATTATTGTAGATGAATGCAACCCGAACAACGTGAAATACCAATTCGATCATGACAAAAGTGATTTCGAACAAAGTGATTGCAACTATTACGAATGCACATCAGCGAAGAAGTTTGAGAGGAAAAGTTGCCCCGATGGCAAAGGTGTCAGCGATTTCTTCAAATTAAAGTACAAGATGTATGGTAAAGGACAGGCATACCCTCCTTGTACAAGGGATGTACCTGCGTGTGAGAGATCTTTGGCTGACAAAGGAATCAGTATGTGCTCACTTTTCTCATCTTAATATTATAAATCGAGGTTGTCTATTTTCTAAAATCAAAAGGTACACATCTTCAGTGAAATATAAATATTTAAACACTAAGTAAGTTTCTTTAACGTATACATAAAAATATTGGGTGAGACTTGAGATAATGTATGCGGCGCCAGTCAAAATTGAAACTTCTGATTGGGTTCGAAGCCGAGATGCCCGGATATGTCCCAGCAAAAGCCGGAATTCACGTGATTTTTCACGAAGAAGGGGCGGAGTTTAAGCGAGATTCATCGAGACTTCTTCGTGTCAATCGTGTCAATCCCTGCATTGCTTATTGTTAACTCCACCTTTTTGCCCATATATGGAGATGGAGATGCCACTTGCGAGCGTGAACAGTTCAGTCTAGAAATAGAAATTTCTTAAGCGATGTCTTTCTTCAATTTTTCTACACGATATCTCGATAAATAGTGGACATATTTGTACCATTCTTTCGTCAAAATGAGGGTATCGCTGGAATACATATTTCCAATCTGTTGGTCAATAGATTTATTCATTGATACTGGCAGGAATTAGATCGTAATAAACATGCTAAAATTGTAAAACTTGGAACGTTTGACAGTAATCTCCGAGTAATGTATGAATTGCATCGGGAGAAAGCAGGAGAAAAGCTGGGACTGAGTCTGTTGTGTGGAGTTTGCAAAGCAATCCCGGATATAAATGACGTCATCTTAGCAGTTTACCATGGTTTCGAAAGTGATATATTTTTGTGTCGTAGATGAGTTTGAATTATGTCGATTATTCGATTGTTATATATAAATAAACATCGATCTTCGGCGAAGATAAAGTAAGAACAACATATATATCCGAGAAACATGTTGGTAAGTACAGTATTTCATTTATAATGGCAGAAAATCAAATTGAATCGAAATCGAATTTTCAACTTTTTCAATTTTTTTCGTTCGATTATTTTGATTTTCAATTTGACGTTTTTACATTCTATCTTCTTCGTCCTGCGGGACTATACTAGGCATAGGCCCGGAACATGTATAGCATTGAGTCATATTCACTTATAGAACATGCTGTAAGCTTTATTTCTTTACATTTTTACGGGCCTATGCCTGGGCTATGACTCTAGGCCTAGACTACTAGATCTATAGGACTTAGACTAGCCTAAAGCTAGAGCCTTAGATCTAGCTCTTTCAGAGTCTGTGACTGATATGTTAGAAGAGCCTTTAGAGCCCCCTATCAACCGCTTCAAAGTTGTGTTAGTGTCCTCCTTGCGAAAATCGAAAAAAATTAAAAGGTGCTTCTGTGCCGAACAGCAAATTCTCATTATACATTGGGAAGCTACTCTTTACCAAGAAACCAAAAATGGAATTTTTGACGGAAAGACATGACGTACAAGTCAAAATCTCTGAATCTTGCTAGGTACATGACAGATAAAGAGAATTTAAATCCTGATCGGCAAAAAAGCGGCTAATAACTAACATATTTTCTCAACAAAAAGCACTGATGTAGCTCACATTGGGAGATAGTAGTAAGCACTTGAAGTTGATTTCAGTAGATCAGTTACACCTGTCATGATTTCAAGGAAAGACACAAAGTATCCGTCAAAAGAGAAAAGCTTACATAAATGCGAGCAAAATCTGCAGATTTATTATAGCTATTGACTTCTCGAATATGTTGAACGCACAACTCTAAACAATACTTGAAATTGAATAAAATTGACAAAATATGAGAAGACACAGTCTAAAACCTAACTGGGAGAGCTGCCATTGTTTGCCCGGAAATCTTCAGAGATTTTGACTGGTAGGCTACTTTGTGTCTTTCCATCAAAATTGCCATTTTGGTTTCTCGCTGGGTAATTCACAGATGAAGAGAAATCTTGATTGACAAAAATACAGCTGATAGCTAACAGCTTTTCTTAAACAGAAGATAAAGGAAGATATAAAGGAACCTGTTATGATTTTGAAGCGGGTGATAGCCGATAGGGGGCATGTTAAGGCTGTAAGTAGAGGGTGTAGCCGAATAAATCTAACCCAAATAGAGTTTAACACATCTCAGTATAGGCAAAATTAAAATTCATTAAAGTTTCATTACTTTAGCATGGGTACATTTGCTGGCCTTCTAATATTTTGCCAATAGATTTGTTAGGCTTGATTGCAAATTCTTATGAAATATAAGAGTGTATGGTTTCAATGTTCTGTACTCCCGATATTTTTCGCGTGCAATTTAGTTTCGTGCTTTTCGCGATTGTGTAAAAATCACGAAAATTAATAGTCGCGAATATCGCCAATTAAAGGCTGAGGTGCAACATGCCATTGACTAAGATCTAGAGATTGTAAATCTAATCCAAAGTATATGATATTGGGTAGGTGTAATTACTGTAGATAAGATAAATTAATTTTGAGGATTCAGAGAATAATGGAAGTTAAACCTTTGATATCCGCAAAATTTAATGGCCGCAAAATTGGTATTTCTCAAAATTCATAAAATTTAAACTCGCAAATTAACCAGTAGTACAGTATTTGCATGTGGAATAATTATGATATTGAGAGCATTGATGAAACAAATGCAATGAACTGATTTGATTGGCCAAGGGAGCATTGGAATTTTGACCTGAAGTTCACATGATTGTTGCTATAGGCCTTATGATTTTTTGGAATTCCAGTAATACTATTAATGTCTATTATACTTATACAGTAAAACCTGTCTTATCCAAATGCCACCGCTACAAATTAAAAACATTCAGATTTAAACGTCTGATGACTTCGAGGTTTTTGCATCCGAAAGATTCTTGATTTTGAAAAAATATTATGCATTTTCACTTAATATTACTAGCATTGTAGGCGTTATGATTTTTTGGAATTCCAGTAATACTATTATACTTATACAGTAATATCTGTCTAATACTTATACAGTAATATCTGTCTAATCCAAATGCCACCATGACCAGTTAAAACACCATGACCAGTTAAAAAAAACATTCAGATGTGGAGGTGATCGGATTTCGAGGATTTTGCATTCGCAAGATTCTGCATTTTAAAAATATAAATGCATTTTCACTAAAAAGTATTAAGATTACTTTTGACCGCATAGCTTTATGACATTCCAAAATCCAAATCGAATGCTTGAAAGGTAAAACAGAAGTGTGCAATCAGAGATGATAGATACTATTGCATGAGTATATGAAGGCCATGTGTCAACTCTTCGATTGATAATACGCCTCGAAATAAACACCCACTGGCTTGGGAAAGCTATTTTCCCTCTTAATAAATGCCTGTCCCCTTGGAAAAATGTTTTCAATTTCCCTCTTAGTCTTAATAAAAGCCAATGGCATTTATTTTGAGTTCTTTCTAATAAAGGCCCTGTGCAAAATAAATGCTCAGTGGGCCTATATGTTCGTTGAATTTAAAATTTCCCCTTCTACTCAATTTTTATAAATGTTTTATGCATCAGTATGTTGCATTTGGAGACACAAATAAACTCTTAAAAGGAAAATATTTTCTCTTTAGTATGTTAACTTTGTCTACAAATGCAACATATTAATGTGAAAACATTATAAAAAAAATGGAAGGAACTGAAAATCAGGAAAACATTTTTGAAAAAAAATGTTGATGGGGTCTTTGCACCTTCCCTGTCTCAATCTCCAATTTTTTTATCATCTGTATGAGTACTTTTCCTTTAGATAATGCATTGGCCTAACATACACACCTTACATTTTCAGAAAATTTCTGCAATTCAACATATGACCGTCTAAATTCTGTTGCGAAACCTTTAGTATTCTTTCAAGAAATTTCCTGCTTACATGAAAGTCTTTTACATTCTGTTTTTTTTAATGTAACATAATGGCTGATACCAATATTGTTCAAAGTTGTATATGTTTACACTATGGAACTAATCATTCTTTGAATTGAGTTCGATTCCTGAACAACTGGATATTTGACTAAACATTCCTTGGATTTGATTTGGTTTGATGAAGAGAAATCTTGACTGACAAAAATGCAGCTGATAACTAACACATTTTCCCAAACAGAAAATATAAAAAAAATTTAAAGTGAGCACTTGATTTCAATAGTTTAGTTTCACCTATGCTTTTGAAGCAGGTGATAGCTGATAGGTGTCATGTAAAGGCTTTAAGTACATGGTATAGCAATAATTAAAGGTAAGAAGGTACTGTTTCATTCATATTTCTTGGTTTTAAAAACATTTAATCAAATAAGCTGGAAATTTTTTTGAGAAATGATATGATGGTGAAAGAAATAGATACAAAATTATAAAAAAATTATAATTAGCGAAAATTGATATCCGCAAAATTTCAAAATTGCAAAATTGTGAAAGATAACAGCATCAAATATTAGTGGCAGTACAGTATTTGCATGTGAAATAATTATGATATATTAATATAATAATATAATAATTGATGAAACAATTGCAATGAACTGTTTTGATTAGCCAAGGCCAGAGCATTGGAATTTGAACTAAAGTTGAGTATAATGTTATTGTATAAATTAAAAAAATAATTATAGAGACTTCTTACAAAGTTGATCTTCATTTCAAATAGCTGAGAATATTTCCCAAAATAGATTGACTAGGCCTTCAGATTTTTTTGAATTTCAGTATTACTATTACTCATACAGTAAAACCTGTCTAATCCAAATGCCACCGTGCAGTTAAAAACATTCAGATTGGGAGGTGTTCGTTATCACAATAGATTATAATTATATCATTGATAATTTAGAGTTTATTCAAAGATGGCAGCAGCATTCTCAGAACCTAACAATCAGAATCTCATTAATCTTTTGTTCACGTTAGTTATTTAAACTTTATATTCATATATAGATGGCAGTTCTTAAATATATGATAGACACCAATAATTCAACATCATAATTTAACCTTTTCCATTAAATATACCCTGTATCAAGCACAGAAACGTATTTACACCCTTTACTAAAATGGCAACCCCTGTATCACGCACTTGTTGTAAATATAAATATTTATCTTATTTTTTGAAGGAATCAATTATGACATGTACGAGAGTTGATCAAAGGGTTCTGTTCTGTATTTGTGGTAGTTTCATTTTGTATAAAAATAATAAATAGATTTGACAAGTAAAATAAGATTAGCAAAGAAAGAAACATTGGAAGTGATTTAGTTAGCATATTCACTGCAGATCCACTCGATTACGCTGGAACCGTTTCGGTAACAAAATGTCGGAACGTCGAAGGCACGATTTTTCACACGTTGTGGGCAGAATTCCAACGACATTTTTATCACAAACTTGTATCAGTATCATATGATTAAGAAAATGTACACATTTGCGAACAAATAGTTCAGAAGACAACGAAATCGTCGATTTAATCCCCCACTAAAGTTACCGAAATGGTAAATCGAAAAACAGTTAAGATCTGCACTTTTAACCCTTACCGTTTATGTAACTTAAGTGAGGAATTAAATCGACGATTCTGTTGTCTTCTGAGCTATTTTTTCGCAAACATGTACCTTTTACAAAGCATATGATACCGATACACGTTTGTGAGAAAAATGTCGTGGGGATTCTGCCTACAACGAGCGAAATAAGCAAAAAAGAAAAATCGTACCTTCAACGTTCCGACATTTTTGTCACCGAAACGAACCGTTTTGATAACCAGCGTAATCGAGCGTATCACCAGTGATATTGAGACAACACAAAATTGAATGTTGCTCCTTATTTGTAGGTTAAATCATCCATTTTTTATACTTTTAGCTCAAAATATGACTGAAAGTGATCGCATGATCAAGCAAGTGGTTTAACATGCTCTGTGACCTCATATTATCTTTATAATAACATTACAAAACTTGTTTCATTAGATATGTATACCGGTGGCTGACCATGATAAACAATTTCAAGGTTTTTGGATCACCTGTCCCTGGCCGAAACGTTTCTTACTTATTTATGCAAAAGGCGCATTTTATTCATCTTGGATTTCCGAGGTATGATGTGTTCAAATCAAACTGGGAAACGAGTATGCATTTTATTTGGACAGTGGCAAGCTGGGGCAAAGTCGATAAAAGCACACATTGTGGAACATAACGGATACCAGGGAATATACCCCATTTTGTCATCGTCCAAAAAGTCTTTCCTCCCTAACACTCCCAAGCTAGGTTATTGAGACACAGACTGAGGTCCATTTGAGATAAAAAGCATTGTTATTCACCCTTAAATCTGCTCCATGCGTTTACCAGATTTATAGATATCCAGTTCTGCAAAATGCGACTATTTTTTAAATCTTTCTAGCTGACATCCGAATCCCGATCTGTGGTCTTGACTTCGTATTCGCCATCGACATTTCATGCAGCATTAATCCACAAGACAAGGAAAAGATTCGAAAATTCCTCATGTCTGTAATCAGGCGTATTCCCGTGCGTCCACCTTTCTCACAGGTCGGCATTGTTTTGTTCTCTAAGTCTGTCTACGATATTGCTCAGCTCAACTCCTACATACGCCGTGGACAAGTAAGTATGATCCTGCAACATAGTAATCCATTATTATCCAATGGTTGCAAGGATAAAGATCGAATATCACATGAAGATATATTTGATATGTGGATCAAGATATCATATTTGAGCAAAAAAATCACAAACCATCGAATATCACTTTTAAACTATCGAATATCACGTCTTAAAAAGTGATATTCGATGGTTTCGATTTTTTACCAAAAAAATTCTTTTTACATTTTTTAATCATTTTCAAAAATATTTTTAAAAAATCTCAAAATTTCAAAAAGAAAATTCAATTTTTTTTCAATTTCTTCTCAAACTATATTTTTCAACTTTAACGGACAATACTATGCTTTTTCAAAAATATCAATTATATCCACTCATGGATACAAATATCTTCACTTATTCGCTGCGCTCACTCATGAAGATATCAATATCCACTCATGGATATAAATGATATTTTTGTGACGGACATGCCAGGCTTTGCAATACACATTGTCACGGTTATAGCAGTCCTAATCATAAATTTCTGTACTCTTACACCAGGCCTTGCAATACTACATTACATTATCACGGTCATGCCAGGCCTTGCAATACTATATTACATTGTCACGGTCATGCCAGGCCTTGCAATACTATATTACATTGTCACGGTCATGCCAGTCCTTGCAATACTGTACTAGTATTACATTCTCACGGTCATGCCAGGCTTTGCAATACACGATTATAATCGTGAATTTCTACATTACCCTACTATCACACCAAACTAGTTCTCACTACGTTCTCGAAAACGAGCTTCAACTGTGTACGAACGGACTGGACCTACTAAGAACCGTTTGGGATCTATTTACAAATTCATCGAACGTAATCGAACGGGTAGGTTCTCTAGAACTTAGACAATGCTCAAAATATTCTCGTGGTCGTCACGTTCTACAATTAGAACGAGTGACAACGTACTAACGACGAGCTGGACGTACTACGAACGGAACCGTCGTACTTCAATCCTACTCGGGACGTTTTAACAACGAGTTGAACTGTCTAAGGACTTGTTGAGAACGAGGTAGAACTAATTGCAAACGGGTTTAAACTGATTAAGAACGTATTTAACACTGCTTATGAACGAGTTAGCAAAAATATAGCTATCACACCAAACAAGTTGCCACTGCGTTCTTCAAAACTGGTTTGAAACTGTGTGCGAACGGAATGAACGTAGCTGCAACTTTCTAAGGTCTATTTACGAACTTTATGAACGTTCTCAGACGGGAATGTGATTTTAGAATTTTGAATCGATTCAAAATTCGATGGCGACCATACCGTTCTGTAATAAGGTCATGTTGACCTTCTAGACTAAGGGACGCGTTCTACGACGTTGCACACCGACGTGGTGCGACCTGAACGAACTGCGAACGAGATTGAAGACGAACTGCGAACTGCGGACGTATTGAAGACTGTTTAAGAACGAAGAAGCTAATTATTTCAGACATATTTCCCGACCACAGCCAGATTGAGCCCGTTTTACGACGTTTTCGTAGGACTGGCAAGAACGGGTAAGAACTAGTTTGGTGTGATACGGGGGTAACCAATCTCATACCTGAACATGCAATTCTATATTACATTGTCACGGTCATGTCAGTCGTTGCAATCTTTATGTCAACATTACCACGGTCATGTCATTCCTCATTGCAATACATCATCAAGTTCATTTCATGCCGCATTGCAATGCATTATCACTGATTGATTAACCCTACTATCACACCAAACTAGTTATCACTACGTTCTCGAAAAAGGGCTTCAACTGTGTATGAGCGGACTGGACGTACTTAAAACCATAGGATATTCCTATAGTATCCAATTGACAAACAAAAGCTAGTAATACAAACTAATCACTTTTTTATTTATTTTTACACATGCAATTTTGAAGGATTACAAGCAACTTTAACATTTAAAATTGCACCTAGCCTAACACAGATCAACGTGCAGGTATACTAAGAGATTTTATTTTCACGAATGAAGGACAGTGTAAAAAGAAGATTCGCACTAATAGATTATGATAATGGAAGCCTGCACACTGATCTATCATACCCATATCAGATCAACATAATCATTAGAATAGTAATGCCTTTGTACCCACAATCGCAACTCCAGATGAACTCATATCAGATCAACATAATCATTAGAATAGTAATGCTTTTGTACACACAATCGCAACTCCAGATGAACTCATATCAGATCAACATAATCATTACAATATTAATGCCTTTGTACACACAATCGCAACTCCAGATGAACTCATATCAGATCGACATAATCATTAGAATAGTAATGCCTTTGTACACACAATCGCAACTCCAGATGAACTCATATCAGATCAACATAATCATTAGAATAGTAATGCCTTTGTACACACAATCGCAACTCCAGATGGACTCATATCAGATCAACATAATCATTACAATATTAATGTCTTTGTACACACAATCGCAACTCCACATGAACTCATATCAGATCAACATAATCATTACAATATTAATGTCTTTGTACACACAATCGCAACTCCACATGAACTCATATCAGATCAACATAATCATTACAATATTAATGTCTTTGTACACACAATCGCAACTCCAGATAAACCCATATCAGATCAACATAATCATTAGAATAGTAATGCCTTTGTACACACAATCGCAACTCCAGATGAACTCATATCAGATCAACATAATCATTAGAATAGTAATGCCTTTGTACACACAATCGCAACTCCAGATGAACTCATATCAGATCAACATAATCATAACAATATTAATGTCTTTGTACACACAATCGCAACTCCAGATGAACTCATATCAGATCAACATAATCATTACAATATAAATGCTTTTGTACACACAATCGCAACTCCAGATAAACTCATATCAGATCAACATAATCATTACAATATTAATGTCTTTATACACACAATCGCAACTCCAGATGAACTCATATCAGATCAACATAATCATTACAATATTAATGTCTTTGTACACACAATCGCAACTCCAGATGAACTCATATCAGATCAACATAATCATTACAATATTAATGTCTTTGTACACACAATCGCAACTCCAGATGAACTCATATCAGATCAACATAATCATTACAATATTAATGTCTTTGTACACACAATCGCAACTCCACATGAACTCATATCAGATCAACATAATCATTACAATATTAATGTCTTTGTACACACAATCGCAACTCCACATGAAAAGTGCTTCTCAACTTTTACCTGTTGTTTGTTTTCAAAGAATTCCATGTTTTCTTGAAGCTTTTGAATGTAGTCAAAGATATGAACATGAAGCCAAAGGAGTGTGGTACATCAACATGGTTGGCACTCCAATACGCAAGAGAAGTTTCCTTCAACCCACAGAACGGTGCTCGTAAGGACAAAAAGGTAAGCTTTTTAATGGCGTAAGTCCAGATGTCACTCCGGGGAATAAAAAATCAATTTTTGTCTGTGGTTTAGAATTGAATATTAATTGTTATTTTCAATATTGTATTTTAGAAAGTATTAATTGTCGTTACTGATGGAATGACCTATCCCGTGGAAAAGAAAGGGGAAACATTGGAAATGGCTAAAGCCAACATAAGAGCTAACATAACATCATATGTAGTTGCATGCCCCAATATGAATGCAGGAGGATTGATTGGACACGACGAATGGAACGCAATCGCAACTGGCAATATTGATGATGAAGAAGGCGTAATAGATCCCAATGTATATGCACTTGACACTTTTGATCAACTCAGAAGTATCATTAACAAAATCGTCAACAAAGCATGTTTAACAATGTAAAGTCCAAAATGGCACTAATAGTATGATCGAGGATGTAAATATATAAAAGGACTCGTACGGGCGACAAAAACGGATATCTTGGATGAAGACGTCTTATGGTTCAACATACCGTATTGGATGTATTGTTTCAACAATAAATTTTCCTAATAAGAGTAAAGACTATGTTTCCGTATTATCATTTCTACTTTAGCCTATATCAGTAAAAATGCAACAATGGGAAGGTGAGATTGTCAATTTTTAAGAATCAGACTCCGGACGTTTATTTAGTGTACCAAATATGTCAAAGCAATGATTTCATCACAAGTGGATAATAATGAATTACAGCTTACTTTATATTATTGTTCATTATGTCACCACCAAAAAGTGGTGACACATTGTTATAGTCTCCGTTTCTTTGTGACGGCGATCGGCGGGTGGCGGTTGGCGTCTGTAACAAATTCTTAAAACTGCCAATAACTTAACAAATACTGTTTAGACTGACAGTTTTTTTTCAAAATCATCTACAAGTTTTCATAAGTTCAAGTCTGACTTTACATTTCAGATTTGACCTTCAGTTACCTTTTCAAGGTCAAAAAAGGTCAAAAATGTATTTTTTCAACTTGCTTTAAATTGACCAGTTTTTCAAAATCATCTACAAGTTATCAGAAGTTCAAATCTGACTTTAGATTTGACCTTCATTGACCTTCTCAAGGTAAAAATATTCTGACCTTGTATTTAAAATTTCACCTTCAGTAAAAAAGGTCAAAAATGTATTTTTTCAACTTGCTTCAAATTGACCAATTTCTTTATCAAACCGTCTCATCTAGAAGTTCTCAAAAGTTCAAATCGGACTATATACTGGATGAGCGTGGTGTAAAAGTGGTTTTGAAAAAAAGCAAATTTCTCTTTACGTAGGTAATTTGTGGTTTATGATTCTACATTGATTCTGAAAATACTGGTGTCTAGCATTCTGATTTATCAGAGTCCCTCTTTACCTAACGCTTTTGAGAGAACTGAACTATTCCAAAAGGATAGTAAAGGCTGTGGATCCCACAATGGGTGTCTAGTTTTTCAGCGTTTTGGAAATATTCAGATTTATACCCCTCTTGTTTGATTTTGAGGGGGGTACTAGGAAGGCCATGTAAAATTCCTAGAATTTACAACCAATCATTTTGATATTTACAGGTAATCATGTACTTATCATGTCCTACAAAAGTAATAAGTTTCATCAAATTTAGTCAACTGGTTGCTATGGAAACAGAGATCATATGTCAAAAAGTACACAATTTCGTCAAATTGTAAGACATCCCATGAGACAAACCATATATTATTTTAATGAGATTGGAAAGAAACACCATAAAAAAAACATTTTAGAAAACTTATTCAGAGTATGTTTGATAATATTAAATCAAGTGCTGTTTTATCTTTTCCACACAGTGAAATCGGTTGCTCATGATTATAATACAATGCAAATTAATTTAGAAATGGGACGTGGCACTTTTCCAAAGAATTCTTAACTTGTGTCCAAATTTTTGAAGACAATAAGTAACCAATTGTCCTGTTATTTACAGATATTATTCACATCATTATGTTTGACGATCATGGAAAGTTTCATCAGTGTTGGTTTACTGGTTACTAAAGTATGCAGATTTATACCCCTTGGTATGATTTTTAATGGGGGTACAATGAAAGCCATCTAAAATTCCTAGAATATACAGCCAATCATCTTGATATTTACAGGTAATCGTCTACATATCATGTCTTACAACCATGACGATTTTCATCAATGTGTATCAATTGGTTGCTTTGAAAACATAAATCATTTTTTCAAAAGTACACATTAAGGGAGGTACTATGAAAGCCATATATAATTCCCAGAATATCTAACCAATCATTGTTATTGACAGGTAGTTATCTACTCACCATGTTCTTCCACTATGACAAAGTTCATAAATGCGGGGCAAATGGTTGCTATGGTAACATAAATCATTTGTTAAAAAGTACACATTAGGGCGTACTATGAAAGCCATTTATAATTCCTTAAATATCAAAACAATCATTATGATATTTACAGACAATCTACTACTTATCATGTCTTATCATGATGACAATGTGGGTCAAATGTGGGTAGAAATCTATTTGTTAAAAAGTACACATTTTTAAAATTTTAAGACACACCCTAAGACATTGAAAATCTTCATCAAATTGGGAGGAATTAGCATGAAAACATTTAAAAAAACCTATTTTGAGTATGTCTGATAATATTTAATCAATGGAAATTTCATCTGGGCCATTTGATGTATTGTATTGCTTATGATAATAAAACTATGCAGAATGCGGCCGTCACATTATGCGTAGGGACATAGTGAATTATGAGCTGATCTCACTTAGTCATCTTTTTTATCATTTGCATCAAAATCCTCATTCATAGATCTTTCAATGTCTAGTTCTGTCAAAGCATCCGTTGCAATCTTTATGTGACTATATGTCTATGAGATCATAAGGTGGAATGGGTTGGTCTGGCCAATTTGGCTCTGTTTTGCCATCAACAAGTTACCACGTCACTTGTAATAAACAAACTAAGAGACATATACAACTATTACACCCAATTAGAAATACTGGAAATGCTTCTTAATGAATTCTAAAAACAATGAACAGTTGAAAAAACCCAGCAGACATAAAAAAGTTGAGAACAACAGCATGTATTACTCTGAGTGTAAAACATGTCCGTTGATTACCAGTGATGGCAATAAAGCGTCCACTGTTGTGATTGATAAGATGTGATAAGTTTTATGAAATGTTTCCATGCTTATTTCTCACAAAATGATGAACATATTATGTGCTTAATGTCAAAGGTTGCATGAGTCTTAGATTTTTACGAAAATGTGTACTCTTTTAACAAATGATTTCTGTTACCGTAGCAACCAAACTACCAACATTGGAGGCACTTGTTATACTGGTAAGACATGTAAACGGATGATTACCTGTAAATATCAAGATGGTTGATTGAATATTCTAGGAATTATACATGGCTTTCATAGTACCCCTTAATGTGCACTTTTAAACAAATTATTTCTGTTACCAGAGCAACCAATTGACCAACATTGATGGCACTTGTCATACTGGTAGGACATGATAAGCAGATGATTACCTGTAAATATCAAGATGATTGATTAAATATTCTGGGAATTATACATAGTACCCCCTTGATGTGCAATTTTTATGAAATGATTTATGTTACCATAGCAACCAATTGACCAACATTGATGGCACTTGTCATACTGGTAAGACATGATAAGCAGATGATTACCCATAAATATCAAGATGATTAATTGAATATTCTAGGAATTATACATAGTATCTCCTTAATGTGTATTTTTTAATAAATTATTTCTGTTACCATAGCTACCAAGTGTTAAACATTAATGAAACTTGTCGTAGCGGTAGTGCATTATAAGTAGATGATTACCTGTAAATATCAAGATGAATGGCTGTATATTCTAGGAATTATAGATGGCTTTCATTGTACCCCCATTAAAATCATACCTATGGGGTATAAATCTGTTTACCATAGTAACCAGTAATCCAACACTAATGAAATTTTCCATGATAGTCAAACATAATGATGTGAATAATATCTCTTAATCTCAGGACAAATGGTTACTTATTTTCTTCAAAAAGTTGAACACAAATAAAGAATTCTTTGGAAAAGTGCCACATCCCTTTTCTAAATTTACTTGCATTGCCGTATAATCATCAGCAATAGATTCCACTGTGTGGATAAGATAAAACAGCAGTTGATTTAATATTATCAAATATACTTTGAATAAGTTTTCTAAAATGGTTTCATGGTGATTCCTTCCAATTTCATGAAAATAATATGTGTTTTGTCTAATGGGGTATCTTACATTTTGACGAAAATGTGTACTTTTTAACAAATGATCTCCATTTCCATAGCAACCAGTTAATCAACTTAAATGAAACTTGTCATAATGGTAGGACATGATAAGTACATGATTACCTGGAAAAATCAAGATGATTGGCTCTATATTCTAGGAATGATATATGGCTTTCCAAGTACCCCCCTTAAAATTACACCAGGGGGGTAAAAATCTGAATATTTCCAAAACGCTGAAAAACTAGACACCAATGATTTCAGAATCAATGTATAACTAGATTTTGGAAATTGAACGAGTTCAATTTCAGACTCCAGATCTAGACTTTTTTTTAGCCGAGTCATCCAGAATAAGCCGAGTCATCCAGAATAAGCTGAGTCATCCAGAAAAAGATGGATAAATAAAATAGAAAGGTAGGATAGGATAGAATAGGAAAGAACGATAGGATAGAATAAGAAAGAAGGATAGGATAGAATAGAATAGGAAGAAAGGATAGGATAGGATAGGAAGGATAGGAAGGAAAAGATACAAAGGAAGGATAGATAGGAAGGATAGGATAGGATGAGATAGGAAGGATGGATGAATTTTTCAATATTTTCTTCTCTACTCTTGACTTTTTATCAGGATACCATCAGATCGTTTTTTCTCGAAATTTCAAAACGCCATAATTTCCGAACCGGAAGTCGGATCGAAATTTGGTTTGCATATTCAGATTTCTGACAAAATTCTACCCCTAATTCATAACTCAAACGTTAAATTTGGAGATTTTTTATTTTGACCTACTTTTCGGACACGCCATAACTTCCGAACCGGAAGTCGGATCGAAATTTAGTTTGCAGATTCGGATTCCTGACAAAATTCCTTTCTTAATTCATAACTCATATATTAAATTTGGAGAACTTTTTATTTTGACCTACTTTTCGGACACCATATCTCAAAAGTGGGTCAAAATACTTTCTGACGGCAAAAGGCTAACACTATTAGCATATTCTTGGCTACATATATACAAAATTTCGAAGAATATAATTAAAGTGTAGTGTCAAAATCGAAAAAATAAGGAAAACCTATGAATTTGACCTAGATTTTGACCTAGGCATTTCGGTGTCCAAATTTTGAAGCTAGATGGCTTTTGAGGTCCCCTTCTTTTAAAGGCTTTGATTATATGAAGCTGAACTCAGTCTATATTCCATATTTTTCACTTCAAAAAAATATTTTTTCCCATTGACTTAACATGGGCACCAAATTTAGCGATTTTTGAGTTTTCAAAACGCCATAACTTCCG